TACACATTTTGTTATGTTACAGCCTTATTCTAAAATGGATTACATTATTTATTATTTTATCTACACACAATACCCCATAATGACAAAGCAAAAACAGGTTTTTAGAAATTTTAGCAAATATATTACAAATTAAAAACAGAAATACGTTATTTACATAAGTATTCAGACCCTTTGCTATGAGCCTCGAAATTGAGCTCAGGTGCATCCTGTTCCCATTGATCATCCTTGAGATGTTTCTATAACTTGATTGGAGTACACCTGTGGTAAATTCAATTGATTGAACATGATTTGGAAAGGCACACACCTGTCTATATAAGGTATCACAGTTGACAGTGCATGTCAGAGCAAAAACCAAGCCATGAGGTCGAAGGAATTGTCCGTAGAGCTCCGAGACAGGATTGTGTCGAGGCACAGATCTGGTGAAGGGTACCAAAGAAATGTGTGGCCTTCATCACTCTTGATTGGAAGAGTGTTTGGAACCACCAACACTCATCCTAGAGCTGGCTGCCTGGCCAAACTGAACAATCGGGGGATAAGGGCCTTGCTCAGGGAGGGGAGCAAGAACCCGATGGTCACTCTGACAGAGCTCTAGAGTTCCTCTGTGGAGATGGGAGAACCTTCCAGAAGGACAACCATCTCTGCAGCATTCCACCAATCAGGCCTTTATGGTAGAGTGGCCAGACGGAAACAACTCCTCAGTAAAAGGCACATGACAGCCTGCTTGGAGTTTGCCAAACGGCACTTGAAGACTCTCAGACCATGAGAAACCAGATTCTCTGGTCTGATGAAACCAAGATTGAACTCTTTGCCCTGAATGCCAAGCGTCACGTCTGGAGGAAACCTGGCACCATCCCTACGGTGAAGCATGCTGGTGGCAGCATCATGCTATGGGGATGTTTTTCAGCGTCAGGGACTGGGAGACTAGTCAGGATTGAGGCAAAGATGAACGGAGCAAAGTACAGAGAGATCCTTGATGAAAACCTGCTCCAGGGCACTCAGGACCTCTGACTGTGGCAAAGGTTTACCTTACAACAGGACAACGACCGTAAGCACACAGCCAAGACAACGCAGGAGTGGCTTCGGGACAAGTCTCTGAATGTTCTTGAGTGGCCCAGCCAGAGCCCGGACTTGAACCCGATCAAACATCTCTGGAGAGACCTAAAAATTGCTGTGCAGCAACACTCCCCATCCTACCTGACAGAGCTTGAGAGGATCTGCAGAGAGGAATGGGAGAAACTCCCCAAATACAGGTGTTCCAAGCATGTAGCGTCATACCCAAGAAGACTCGAGGCTGTAATCACTGCCAAAGGTGCTTCAACAAAGTACTGAGTGAAGGGTCTGAATACTTATGTAAATGTGATATTTCTGTTTTAATTTTGAATACATTTGCTAAAATAAAATAAAAAACTGTTTTAGCTTTGTCATTATGGTGTATTGTGTGTAGATTGATGACGGGAAAAAACAGTTTAATCAATTTTAGAATAAGGCTGTAACGTAACAAAATGTGGAAAAAGTCAAGGGGTCTAAATACTTTCCGATTGCACTGTATTGCCTCTCTCACTCTAACCATTCTCTCTTTATTTCCATCCCTCTCACTCTTAGAGGAAAAGGGCCATCAAACTGTGTGCCATCAAACATTATCACTGAGTGGTTTCGTTCCCAGTGAACAGAGGAAACAGACTTTAAGCAAAAATAAAAACAAATGTCGGCTGAATGATGGAATTGAACCATTTCCCTCTGTGTTTTTACCGCCCTTGCAACAGTCCCCTGGCTCCTAAAAATAAGCACATCCTTTGATGTAGTCTACCATTAACTAGAGACTAGAGGGAGACTGAGGCAGGCTAAGGCAGTCTAAAATATGTGTGGTTGCACTCCCCTGCGTAAAAGCCCATATGTGATAATTACAAACACAAACCCGTTGCATCGTAAATAATTTTATTACGCAAGTCTGTTGAGTCACTGCTGTGGGCTGGCGGGGAATGAGTCAAGTTGGCTTCTCTGAAAAATAATAGATGTGATTGTGTTTGTTCGCTTTCATATGCAAACATCAGTAGGCCTATACTTCAGGAAATGCTATGAGGAACATGTTCAGTGTGTTGTCTTTTCTATATGCAAAATGTATGTGTTGTAGTTCCTTGCTTTGGACAGGAAAAGTTAGACCTAGACCTACAGTCAGGTCCATAATTATTGGCACCCTGTATAAAATAAATGTACAAATACTGAGCTATATTGCATGAAATTGTATTATTTTATACTACAATAATTGCCTAGAGAAAGAGATTTTGTTTCATAAATTATATTAAACAAAAACAGGGGTCAGAATTATTGGCACCCCTGTTTTCAGTACTCCAGCATCCTTCCCTTGCGAGGATAACGCCACTGAGCCTTTTTCTAAAATGTTTCATGAGATTGGAGAACACTTTGGGAGGGATCTTCAAACATTCCCCCTTACAGAATCTTTCCAGATCTTTGGATATTTTCAAACCATAGGTTTTCAATGGGGTTGAGGTCCGGAGACTGATGGCCATTGCAAAATGTTGATTTTGTGGTCAATTAATAATTTATTTGTGGATTTTGATGTGTGCTGGTGTGCGTGGCCAAAGAGGTCTACTTTCATGTCATCTGACCCTAGCACTTGGATTGGAATCAGTGCTATGGTCAGATGACATGAAAATAGACCTCTTTGGCCATGCACACCAGTGGTGGATTTGGCATAAAAAAATGGAAGCATAAGCAGAACAGTACCTCATACCTATGGTAAAATATGGTGGCGGATCTTTAATGTTATGGGGCTATTTTGCTTCCACTGGTCCTGGGGCGTTTGTTAAGGTCAACGGAATTATTACCTTTACCAAGTACCAGGACATTTTAGCCCAAAACCTGGTTGCTTCTGGCATGAGACTGACACTTGTGGATCTTCCAGCAAGACAATAACCCCAAGCACACTTTAAAATCCAAAAAGAAATAGTTGATTTACTACAAAATCAACATTTTGCAATGGCCATCTCAGTCTCCGGACTTGAACCCCATTGAAAACCTGTGGATTGAATTGAAGAGGGCAGTCCATAAGACCAAAGGATATCAAGAATCTGGAAATAATATGTATGAAGGAATGGTGGTCTAAGATCCTTCCCAAAGTGTTCTCCAATCTCTTTTTTTATTGTTGAAAAAGACTCTTGCAAGGGGAGGGTGCTAGAGTATTGAAAATAGGGGTGCCAATACACTTGACCCCTAAAACCTCTTTCTCTGAGCAATTGTATTAGTATAAAATAATATAATAATTAGCATATAATATAGCTCAGCATTTGTATAATTTATTTGATACAGTCTTTTTTGCTCTTATGAACTTTATCAAGGGTGCCAATAATTATGGACCTGCCTGTAGGCTACATATAGGATCAAAGGCGAGATAAATAAATGTATGCATTGCTTTGAATTGCCTTCTTCAAATATCTTTAATCAAGGCACTTTTAGTCTGGGAAAATGTGCATGATATGACCACAACCTATGTGCAAACTGTAAGCTGCCTCATTATTCGTTTCCTTGCTGAGATAACTGAAGGCATTTTCTCAGTCAGTGTCAACCCTTCCCACCCCAAACAAGAAGGAACAGGAGCAGAGACAAGCATGCTGATAAAAAATAAAAAATAAATGTTATTTTCAGCACAGTAAAAGCCTGACTTCTCTGCTTATCCCCTCGACGCTGCCTTTATCTGCAGTTTTATATAGTCTACTCTGTGGTTGCGTTGTAGGAGGACGAGAGGCGGATTCAAAAGTTTCAACCCGAGTTGGGACCGCAGTGGAGGCTTTCATGACACCTGCTGGTGTGTTGCCCCGCTATCCCCGGCCTTCCCCGCTCTGCTTGCATTTCCCCCGCCATCCATCTAGCTGTCATCCCAACGATAAACGCGCCCAGCGCGCCGTGTCTGTCCGCATCCATTGGACGGATCCGCAGGCTTTTATATTCTCATCTTCCGCCTGCGTATTCCTTTGAAGACTGAAATAAAGCGCGGAAGAACTTTGAAACAATGTTACAGAAGATGAAGTAGCATACCTCTCACAGGTTAGATAAAGTATCAATGAAAACGTGTGATTGCACCAACACTTCCTGTTTATCGATTCGTAGCCGACTTGTTTCTTGTTACACATCTGAGAAAACAACTTCCACACCTGTTTCAAAACGCTAATCGAGAAAATACGCAATTCTTAGACTTTTTCCCCTCCTGGAATGGAGGTATTGTTTCTTGTAAACCTCCATTAAGATGGATTTAATCAAGTATGTACCTTAGTATGAAGCTTAGTAGTATGACGCTTAGTAATCAAACATATTAATAAAGTGCTGAGATAAAGTATAGGTCTACAACATCACTAGCACACACTGCTTATGTCCCATGTCCAAGCAAGGCTCTTTTTTTCTCTCATATATCCAAGGGCTCAGAAGCGAGGGAGCTAGAGAGGGAGAGGCAGAAGGTAGAAAGAAAGGGGGTAAACAAGAGACTATACCCTACTTGAATATAATGAGAGGGGCAGAGGAGAGTGTGTGTGCGTGCATGTGTGTGTGTGGAGGGGGCTGAGAGGGGGAGAGAGAGATCATTTTAATTTCGAATAAAATAATTTAAAAGCTGGATTACTTATTGCGGGGGGGGGGGGGGGGGGGGGGGGGGGGTCCGCGGCTGAGCAAACACACAGGCGGGTTCCAGCTAGAATGTCAAACGCGTCCCTCCATCACTGCAGCCATTGATAGAAATGTCTGTTTCCAGTCTGTTGGCTAGGTGCATTTAGGTCGTTGGGCTCATAGCCTGCGTCGGTGCCTTGGAGACAGCCGCGCTACGCTCTACACTGCTCCGCTATTTCCCCTGACCCTGTGTAGGCTCTCGCGCTCAGTTAAGCAAACACTAGACTCACTGATCATCAGCTGCTCTTCAACAAATCAGTGTGCGATTCTGCAAGAGCGAGTGCACATCGTAGGCTATTCTTTCTCTGCACTCTCTCTCTCCAGGATGGATTTACCTTAATAGCGGAGACAGCTACCTCGTATCCCGAGTGAGGGGAGTCTTATCAATTGCCAAGTTTAGTCTATTCCTGGAGTTTTGAGTGGTGAAGCAAGCGTTTTTTCCTTCCTTGAACCTCACTCGTATTTCACCACCTTTGCTCGCATCAGCTGGAGCGAGAGCTGCCGCTTCACGATGGCAGGAGCGGGAATATTTCTGTGCATTCTGCTGTTACAGTGTTTTATCTCCACTGCGCTGTGCAACGCCGGGTTCGCCTTCACGGAGGAGCCCTCGGAGAGAGCTGGGAAGTCAGACGGGTATTGTAGTCGGATATTACGGGCTCAGGGAACTCGGAAGGAAGGCTACAATGAGTTTCGACTCCGAGTCGAGGGGGACCCAGAAAATTATCAGCCTGGGAGCACTTACAGAGGTAGTGTATTGCGTCCTTTTGCGCGCACATTGTCTGACACACAATAGGGTATTTTTTGCCTTTACACTATTTCTCTTTTGTGTTTAGCTCATGTGAAGACAAGGACCAGTATTGTGATCATTTATAAGGAAGTGATAGCCTAGAAGTCAGAGCTGGGTTATGACAAGTCACACTCTCTTGTGGAAAGAGGAGTTGGACACAGACCAGAATGCCCTCATACTGTAACTTCATAGGCGTCTGTTTAACTTTTGATGGTCTAACTTCATTTTTGGTAACTCTACCTGCAAACTCATTGGTCATTATAGATAACATTTTGATTAATTAGTCTAACAAAGTCTAATTTTGGCTCAATCACTCATCACATCACAGTTTTATTCAAACACATTATCTCAGGGAAGCTACTGTATATCAGTACAGTAATGATAATGACACTAATAAGGACAGCAATTGCCAGTTGTGTCACCAAGTGAAGCGCTAATTTCTCTTCTGATTGGTATAGCTTATAAAGATATAATTCATATGAGGAACTGAACGAATCCAGAAGGGTTAGTACTTTAGGATTTTGCATACCTTTATTAAACCTATCAATCTGTTTCCAATCAGTTTGTTTTCTTCACTGACTGTGTGTTTGTGATCCCCAGTGACTCTGTACGCATCCAGTCCCGCTTACTTCAGAGGCTTCACCCTCATCGCTCTGAGGGAGGGCAGGGAAGGAGACAAAGAAGAGGACTATGCTGGACATTTCCAGGTAAGACAACAAGGAGACTGCCCATTATACAGTTGAAGTCGGAAGTTTACATTCACCTTAGCCAAATACATTTAAACTCAGTTTTTCACAATTCCTGACATTAAATCCTAGTAAAAATTCCCTGTCTTAGGCCAGCTAGGATCACCACTTTATTTTAAGAATGTGAAATGTCCGAATAATAGTAGAGAGAATGATTTATTTCAGCTTTTATTTATTTCATCACATTCAAAGTGAGTCAGAAGTTTACATACACGCAATTAGTATTTGGTAGCATTGCCTTTAAATTGTTTAACTTGGGTCAAACGTTTCGGGTAGCCTTCCACAAGCTTCCCACAATAAGTTGGGTAAATTTTAGCCTATTCCTCCTGACAGAGCTGGTGTAACTGAGTCAGATTTTTAGGCCTCCTGCTCGCACACACTTTTTCAGTTCTGCCCACACATTTTCTATAGGATTGAAGTCAGGGCTTTGTGATGGCCACTCCAATACCTTGACTTTGTTGTCCTTAAGCCATTTTGCCATAACGTTGGAAGTATGCTTGGGTCATTGTCCATTTGGAAGACACATTTGCGACCAAGCTTTAACTTCCTGACTGATGTCTTGAGATGTTGCTTCAATATATCCACATAATTTTCCTTCCTCATGATGCCATCTATTTTGTGAAGTGCACCAGTCCCTCCTGCAGCAAAGCACCCCCACAGCATGATGCTGCCACCCCCGTGCTTGACGGTTGGGATGGTGTTCTTCGGCTTGCAATCTGCCCCCTTTTTCCTCCAAACATATCGATGTTCATTATGGCCAAACAGTTCTATTTTTGTTTCATCAGACCAGAGGACATTTCTCCAAAAAGTACGATATTTGTCCCCATGTGCAGTTGCAAACCGTAAGTCAGGCTTTTTTATGGCAGTTTTGGAGCAGTGGCTTCTTCCTTGCTGAGAGGCCTTTCAAGTTATGTCAATATAGGACTTGTTTTTGCTGTGGATATAGATACTTTGTACCTGTTTCCTCCAGCATCTTCACAAGGTCCTTTGCTTTTGTTCTGGGATTGATTTGCACTTTTCGCACCAAAGTACGTTCATCTCTAGGAGACAGAACGCATCTCCTTCCTGAGCGGTATGACGGCTGTGTGGTCCCATGGTGTTTATACTTGCGTACTATTGTTTGTACAGATGAACGTGGTACCTTCAGGCGTTTGTAAATTGCTCCCAAGGATGAACCAGACCTATGGAGGTATACAATTGTTTTTCTGAGGTCTTGGCTGGTCTTGGCATGATGTCAAGCAACGAGGCACTGAGATTGAAGGTAGGCCTTGAAATACATCACAGGTACACCTCCAATTGAGTCAAATGATGTCAATTAGCCTATCAGAAGCTTCTAATGCCATGACATAATTTTCTGGAATTTTCCAAGCTGTTTAAAGGCACAGTCAACTTAGTGTATGTGAACTTCTGACCCACTGGAATTGTGATACATTGAGTTATAAGTGAAATAATCTGTCTGTAAACAATTGCTGGAAAAATTACTTGTGTAATGCACAAAGTAGATGTCCTAACCGACTTGCCAAAACTATAGTTTGTTAACAAGAAATGTGTGGAGTGGTTAAAAAATGAGCTTTAATGACTCCAACCTAAGTGTATCTAAACTTCCGACTTCAACTGTATGTCATTGAAATGATACAACATGCAAATGTAGATATTACAACATTAATCTTTTTTTATTTCTAAATCACCTTTGGTTATTCAGGTGAAAGTAACGTTCTTTTAAGATGCAGTCAGTCATATCAGAAGCTAGCAGATTCATTACTTACTGTACCAACAACAGCTGCACATTCCAATAAAACTACATCACGTTTTTAAGTTCACTATCCTTGCTTTGTCTATCATGAATCTAGCAACAAGGTTTTGTAGGACAGATTGCAGTATTTATTTAGTTTCATAGCAAAAATAGTTTGTTAGAACATTTCTCACACTGGCTTTAGCCAGGTAGGGAGCAGGCCTGCCCAGGCAAGCGCAGGGGGGTTGCCTAGCAACATGTGCCTCAGAGGGAGACAATGTCTTCATAGTTCGGCAGATTCCCATGTTTTGTGAATCTGTTCGGACCGAACAGCTAGCCGACAGCTAAAATGTCTATGAAAAAATAAGATTTCAGCTAATAGAGAGAAGTATCTGACAAAGTAACTACATTATGGCATTCATTAATCATAAACTATTTACATATAATAGAAATGTGGGTACATTTGTGGACCAAATTCCTACTTACTTAACCTTTAATAACATAATTTAAGTTTATCCACAGTGTAAGTCAATTACATTTTGAATATACTGTATTTCAAGTTTGCATGACACAGGAACAAAAGAAGGCTGCTCTCAAAATTCACAAAAGCAGAGTAGGTTTTTATACCCTATTCATATTATGGTGTCACGACCGTTTACGTACGAGACGGACCAAGGCGCAGCGTGATAAGCGTACATTTTATTTAAGTACTTAACACACGACAAAACAACAAACAAACGATACGTGAAGTCCTAGGTTACACAAAACAAACCTTTACAGAACAAGATCCCACACCGACTAGTGCCAAACAGGCTGCCTAAGTATGGTCCCCAATCAGAGACAACGAGCTACAGCTGCCTCTGATTGGGAACCACCCTGGCCAACATAGATCTACATGATCTAGAAAACACAACATAGAAAATATGACATAGAAACTCCACACCCTTGCTCAACATTTAAGAGTCCCCAGAGCCAGGGCGTGACATATGGAGTCAGTCAGTCAGCCAATCAGTCACTGGGGGCACAGCAGTGCCAGCGAATAGGGAGTGTATTGATGCAGACATATGATATACAGGTGCACGGATATCCTCTCTCCCAGAGCAGAGCAGAGCAGAGCAGAGCCAACACACTTAACCACACCTGGCAGAACAATTACATCAACACCATATGCTCCCTCTGGACTCCCGTATCCTGCACACTGCTGTGCCGGCTCTCACCCACTCCACTCTGTGTGTGTGTGTGAGAGAGAACTCCCAACATAATCTGTTCCCCTCTCAGACCCCTCCTACCAGAGTCGTTCTGTTTCACACACCATCTTGGAGGAAGCACGATTACTCTCACCTCACTTCCTCTAATACCTCTATTTACGGCCCTCCTCTCTATTCCTGTGTGTGTGTGTGTGTGTGTGTGAAAAAGAGAGTGTGTGTGAAAATGGGAAAAGGAGCCTTGTGCCAGTCAGGGAGAGCCCAGGTGTGTGAAATGTGGCAATGCATGCATGTACGGTGTGCACACACACACAAATCTGGCCAAGTTCAGTGCCAAGATCGTTCCCAGCCTACACAGATGGCTCCAACTGGACTGGAAAAGGGAGGGAGCGAGAGAGGGAGAAGGAGGGATCGAGGGAGTGTTTTCACACTTAGGTGTCAGGGGATATTGTAGTACATCTCCAGCTCTGATTAGGCACTCCAGGTTCTAGTGTGGTGTGAGATGGGCTGGGGGAGACAGAGGTTTCAGGCCAAGAACACACAGCAGGTGAATTGGCCAAGAAGATGTTGTTTATAGGTTTCATAACCAGATTGCTGGGCCAGAGGACTGATACTCCTCCCTTACAGACACTATTTTAACCAAACAATGTTATGAAGCCATTTGTTAAACTAGTCACGCACAACCTGACTGAAATCTTTGAGTGATATGAATAAATCAATGAATACTGAGCTCAGATAATGCTGAGGTGCAACTTTTGCAATTTATATTATATTTATGACCTTTATATAAATTATATTTGCACCTTGTAACAACGGTAAATGTAAAAACACCGGTAAATGTAATAACTTCCTATTTGTAATAATTTTTCCATTTTGGGGGGGTAATACACCCGTTAAATGTAATATCTTGCCGATAAACTTAATAAAATGTTGAACGGTAAATAATTTTCTGCAATATTTCGCTGCAAACAATAATTAATTGTTAGGATGTCACAAAATGGTCACCTAAAGTCGCCAGGATGTTGTGTCATGGTCCCCTAGAGGTTTTTTTCTAGTTTCCAGTTGGTCCCGGGGATGTTCGTGGGACATTGTGTCATGGTCCCCTGAAGATTTTTTCTAGTTCCCAGTTTGACCCGGAGACGTCCCAAAGGCCATTGTGTCATGGTCGCCTGGAGGTTTTGTCTAGTTCCCGGTTTGTCCCAAGGATGATTTTGTGACGTTGTGTCATGGTCTCCTGGAGGTTTTGTCTACTGATCCATTCACAGTTCTTTGTCT